AATGTCTATTCTCATCTTCCCGAATGCAGATTACTGATGATGCATTCATAAACATTGGGAAGCAGCTATTACTACAACTCAAGAAAAGAAGGGGTTCCTCTGGCACAATTAAAAATTCACACTGGCTCAGTCAAAAATATTTGTTGAAAAAAGGACTTAAATAAGTTGTTCTCTCTCTCTCTCTCTCTCTCTTAAAGAGAAGGCAAATTAATTTAAGTTTCCCAACATTCCTTTGGAGGAATGACTTCTACTGTATTGGTGCTAATAAAAGTAAATGAGAATGGTTCTTGTTGACGGTGAAATTTTGTCAACAGGATTACGCCGGGTCACCCCTTGGTATCCCGTAGGGTTACCGGCCTAATACTGGTTATATACTGAAAATAATGCTTGTGAAGTGTTTGAATAAGCTTTGTGGTGAAAGTAATATGAGTGTAATGCTTGAATGAAAGGGCACACATGAAATTTATAGTGGTTCACTCTGTTAATGAAGAGTTACATCCACTGTGTTTTTGCATATATCTTTCCCATTCTTTAATTACATGTAGAGTGAGGAAGAGAGATGGAGAATCCGAGAGAGAGAGATCCCTTTCATTCGGGGCCTTACCCCTTTTATAGCCCAGAGATTACTTCATGAGTGGTTTTTCTTGGTAGGCCCATCCACTTGAGTAGCCTACTAGCCTATGAACCCAGAACCCATGCCTGTCACCACATTTTTCACTATTCACTCATCCAATTTGTCCGCTATTGCGGCTATGCACATCCCCCTTTAATCTTACACCGTCCATTAAATGGTGGTTTATGGGCTTGTAATTAATGCCTACATTACTGACATTCTTCAAACCCAGACGTAACTCCTTTGTCCACTCAGGGGCCTTTCTGGAGATGTGGACCCATGTTTATACGGTCGGCTTCCTATGAGGCCTCTCCTCCTTGGAAGGGTCGGCCGTCTGGAGGCCTCTCCTCCTTAGAGGCGTCGGCCGTTCGGAAGCCCTTAGGGCTCTTGGCAGGTTTAAGAACCTTCTTCATGGAGGCCTCTCCTCCTTGGAGGGGTCGGCCTCATGGAAGCCTCTCTCCTCCTCGGAGGAGTCGGCCGTTCGGATGCCCCTTGGGGCTCTTGGTAGGTTTAAGAACCTTCTTCATGGAGGCCTCTCCTCCTTGGAGGAGTCGGCCCTCATAGAGGCCTCTCCTCCTTGGAAGGGTCGGCCTCATGTACCAACGTGGCAGCGCAAATTTTTTCCTACAACATCTGCACCCCCCCCCCCCCCCCCCCCCCCCCAAGGTCGAGGCTTTCCTTTGGACTGCCTCGAGCTAGTTTGGGATTTTGGTTTAGCGCCTCTTTTTGCTTGCCAATTTATTTCCTACTATAATGAATCTTTGGTTGAATCCTCCTTGGAAGAGTTGGCTTTTCGAACGTCCCTTGAATCTCCGCCCTCTTGCGTTGACCCTGAATCCCCAGGGATATTTCTACCTAGGTTTTGTGGTGGCGCTTCGAGGTTCGATAGGCCTCTTGCTGCTTTTTTTTCCCGGGCTCGGCGCCTGGTGGCTCTTTGACGGCTGCCGAGAGATTGAGACGGTCGAGGCCTCGGATTGCCTCTGTTTTCACTGTCCTCGATCCCTTCTGGGGCACCTTGGTGGTCACCATCATCCTGGTTCCCAGCCATGGCAGCTCCCGGTGGCCTCGGAGCGTCTTCCAGAGGCGGCATCGAGTTTCTCCCATCCAATCGCTCGACCACGGTCATTAGTCCCCACACCAAGTCGGTCAAAGTGTTGAGCTGGGCCTGCATCTGCACTGGGTCAAGCTGTGGAACCCCTGGGGGTAGATCTTTGTTTCTTATCGGGGGTTGGTTTTCGCCACTCCCGTCATTCACCGGATGTGTGGTGGTTTCCTCCATCTAGCTGCCTTGATTGATGGCAACATCTCTTTTTCTTGGAGGCATGGTTGCTGACTACTTCTTTGTTGTCGGGGGTCAAACGTATGAACCAGAGATTCTGGGTTCGGTCCCCAGTGGAGTCGCCAATTGTAAACGGTGAAATTTCATCAACAGGATCACGCCAGGTCACCCCTTGGTATCCCGTAGGGTTTCCGGCCTAATACTGGTTATATACTGAAAATAATGCTTGTAAAGTGTTTAAATAAGCTTTGTGGTGAAAGTAATATGAGTGTAATGCTTGAATGAAAGGGCACACACGAAATTTATATTGGTTCACTTTGTTAATGAAGAGTTACATCCACTGTGTTTTTGCATATATCTTTCCTATTCTCTAATTACATGTAGAGTGACGAAGAAAGATGGAGAATCCGAGAGAGAGAGAGATCCCTTTCATTCGGGGCCTTACCCCTTTTATAGCCCAGAGATTACTTCATGGGTGGTTTTTCTTAGTAGGCCCATCCACTTGAGTAGCCTACTAGCCTATGAACCTTGAACCCATAGCCTGTCACCACCTTTTTCACTGTTCACTCATCCAATTTGTCCGCTATTGCGACTATGCACATCCCCCTTTAATCCTCCACCGTCCATTAAATGGTGGTTTATGGGCTTGTAATTAATGCATGCATTACTGACATTTTTCAAACCCAGACGTAACTCCTTTGTCCACTCAGGGGCCTTTCTGGAGATGTGGACCCATGTTTATACGGTCGGCTTCCTATGAGGCCTCTCCTCCTTGGAAGGGTCGGCCGTCTGAAGGCCTCTCATCCTTAAAGGCGTCGGCCGTTCGGATGCCCTTTGGAGCTCTTGCCAGGTTTAAGAACCTTCTTCATTGAGGCCTCTCCTCCTTGGAGGGGTCAGCCTCTCCTCCTTGGAGGGGTCGGCCTCATGGAGGTTTCTCTTCCTCGGAGGCGTCGGCCGTTCAGATGCCCCTTGGAGTTCTTGGCAGGTTTAAGAACCTTCTTCATGGAGGCATCTCCTCCTTGGAGGGGTCGGCCTCATGAAGGCCTCTCCTCCTTGGAGGAGTCGGCCGTTCGGATGCCCCTTGGAGCTCTTGGCAGGTTTAAGAACCTTCTTCATGGAGGCCTCTCCTCCTTGGAGGGGTCGGCCTTATGGAGGCCTCTCCTCCTTGGAGGGGTCGGCCTCATGAAGGTCTCTCCTCCTTAGAGGTTTAAACTTCTTCATGGAGGCCTCTCCTCCTTGGAGGGGTTGGCCTTACGAAGGCCTCTCCTCCTTGGAGGGGTCGGTCTCATGGAAGCCTCTCCTCCTTAGAAGGGTCGGTCTCTTGGAGGCATCTCCTCCTTGGAATGGTTGGCCTCATGGAGGCCTCTCCTCCTTGGAAGGGTCAGCCTCATAGAAGCCTCTTGTACTGCGTGGCAGCGCATATTTTTCCCTACTCATTCCAAACAGAACGAGAATCCAATCGGTGTTTATTGGTGAGTAAAAAAAAAAAAAAAGAATGAAGCCATTAAAGTTTTATGTGTTTGGAAGTTAGAACAACATGATGATAATGCATATCAAGAGTGTAATTTGTAAAAAGAATAAATGTAACTCTAATGCACAAAATGTGTGAAACATTTGGATCCTAATTTGACTTTGGAGAACGGGTAGTTTTTTTGTAGTAATAATAACCATAATGCTATCTAGCATTTTTTATTTTCGAAATTCCACTTCAAGTTTCTTACCTAGAGTGTATGGATTCCTCTAAGGGCATGTTTGGTTCATGTGTTTAAACCAGTGATTCTTGATTTTAATATTTGAAATTCAAATTTTTTACGAGAAAAAAACACTATAGCAGAATCAAAATCATGGGTTTAAACGCATGAAACAAACGAGCCTTAAATAAAAGCATTGACCTAAGGCACTTTGAATTCAGGTTACACATACATGGTCTTCAACTTACATTTACATGATTTAAAGATTACATATGGTAACTAATTTGGTTACCAAAAACAAACCAATACAATACACTAACTGAAACAACCACTTTCTAATTATGATTGTGCCTTCCCCGTATGAGCTCCATAGTAGCGATGTGGATATTGCGTGATTGAAGATCCCAACCCAGAAAGGCTTAAAAAAATCTTTGCTCCTGGGTTCTTCCTCCAATTCCCTGTATCTAATTTCCCAGATAGCACAAAGAACAACTATGAAGGTTTCTTTTTCCTTTTCGACTTTCGTGTAATTCGCTGAGACTAAAATGGAGTTTCAGTTTATATACGGCAACGGTTCTTCTGGTAGATTCTTCATGTGTTTCCAGGTAGATCTCAGAAGTATAGGGAATCAAATGGAAGGAGCTCCATTTTGTTCAGAACCATATGATATGGTTAGAGTGAGGATCTTGTTTTTCTCTAATGTTCTCTTCAGTTTTTCTGTAGACTAGTAACATCGATTTTAAGAACTTGTTCGTTAATAATACCTTGTGTGTAACATTATATGCGAAATGTTTTAAGTGATTTCTTCAGTTTTTTATCCCATCTTTTTTCAATCTTTTTTATTGAAAAGCTCGAGAGAATGTGGATTTGAAAGACTATCTTTCAGGTTACCTTTCCTTTGATCTCAACTGTCCCATTTTTCACCAAACGTTTAGTTCACATGCCGGATTAGATCCGATAAAATTAAGGTGCCGTACGGAAGACACCCTATTTATTTATATCTTCTTGGCAGTCATATAGAGAAATTATATGCAAAATCAAATGAACAAGGAAATTATTCGTTTTCATATCCCTATCCTTGTGTAAAAGATTATCATGCAAAATATAGCTTAAATGTGAATCTAACGTAAAAATTGCACGTGTCTGATACCAGAAATGGCATAGTAGTGTTGAGAACTGTTTTATGGTCTCATGATCTCTCAAATTTGCGATCTTCAGTTTGTTTTTGCCACTATAAAGACAGTACTAAATGATATAATATACACTCGATTGGTATTTAGGGCGGGTGTGTGAGTTGCTTTTTATGTATTGAGTCCTGGCTTCAAGTTGAGGAAACGCAAATAACAAAAAAAAAAAAAAAAAATCATATAGAATATTAAAATGTGAAACATCGAAAATCTTATTGTATTATGCCAAACGGTTTCTTTTACAATGTTTCTTGGATCATTGAAAATTTTTCATAAAGAAATAACATGGTTTATGATGTGCATAAGAAAATTATGGAGACCAATTTTTAGGAGATGCTGGTACAAATACAACTTGAATATAAATGGAATTTCATGCACTAGCTAGGAGATTTTCAAGATAAAGAAAGGTACGTGAGAGGAACTTCCCCAGCTATATAACTACATAACTTTGTAACATGCTCAAGACTGGTGACAGAAATTCTCAAATCCCATATATTCTTGGTTCTCCATCTTCTCAACCATATTAGCTATGCCAACCCCACCTGAAACATAATAAGCAACAAAAGAGCTTAAGAACCATCTAGTTAAATGAGCACCGGCAACGTAGCACTGCAATTGTGTAAAAAGAACTGTCACATGAAAAAAAGTAAAATATATAACTGGATTTCACTCTATTAATATATATGGTGATTGCATCACAGATGGTGATAAAAAGTACTTTTCTAGTTAGATGTGTGATAGAGAGAGAACGAGAGAAATTAGAAACTGGAGCACATTGCTTGTGTGATAGAGAGAGAACGAGAGAAATAAGAAACTGGAGCACATTGCTATGAGTGAAAACTTTTTACCTAAGCTGATTGCACTGACAAAGATTGTCAATGCGAGGATGAAGATGATTATAGACGCCCTTCCGACAACTGCGATTATCTTTCTCACTACATGCTGGCCAGTGAAAGCAGCAATCGTTGCAACTAATACAAAATAAGAAGCTGCAGCAAAAGATTGAACTAATTGAGACCATTAGGTTGAGCTGAAGTACTGAAATTTGGCTTAGATTAAGCAATCACTGGTTATAGTTTTCTTTTTTCTTTTTTGGTAAATTGCTGCTTACCATATGGGACTGGAAAACGTTTGAGAAGGTAATATTGTACAACTGACATGGAAGATGAGAAAACCATTGCAAAGGTTGATGTAGCACTTGCTACCTGCAAAACAATTCAGACCTTCATTTTAAAGCTTACTTCACATTTTGTTTCTTCCATGAGAATTTTGAATTCTGAAATTCAATCACACAGATTCTAAGTTTAATGTCAGGTTATATGCCTTGAATCAGGAAGACGCGAATCTTGGTCTCCTTTCCTTCAGTATTCAAATTTTTTAAATAAAACACAGTTTGAAAATTGTAATATACGGTTCACAGAGCTCAAAATGTTACCACCCAACCAAGGTGACAAACCTGTGGGGGAATTCCAAGTTCAAGGAAAAGGGGTCCCAAGATAAAGCCACCTCCTAAGCCGAGCAATCCACCCACCATACCAGCTACTATTCCACAGGAGCAGTAAAGAAAAATCTGATGCAACTTCCAGTTTGTGATTTCTTTTCCCTTTGATGCAATCACCCTGGTGCCTCTGTATAAGCATATGGCTTCAAAAAGTGTAACTGATACTGCAATTGGTACCTACACAAAGATATAAAATTGTTCTAAAAGCATGGAAACTTTTCAATTTACGTAACAACTTTATCTTGATTATATGACTAGAGATATATCACAAAATTCATGATTTTCACTCACAGTGGAGTGTTATTTACACCTTTTTAACCTGCTCAATATATATTATTAGGGTCAGTTGGTACTTAGAATATACTTTCTGATTCCGTTTCTGCCAACAGTTGAAGCTAATAGCTAGATTTTTGTTTCTCAAAACTGATGTAAAAAGTGGCTGGATTTTGTGTTGCTTACCTTTATTATGTTTTATCAAACACTGTTTCCAAAAGTTGTTTTCTAGTATAACAGATTTTTGAATAATCTATCCAAAAGCAGGTTTACCAAACATTGAAATTATCTGATAAGCACTTTTGGAGCTGGAAAAAGGCAATCCTACGATGGGATTTAATTTTGAAAACCATATTTGTTTTTTTAATCTATTATGTATAGATGTTTTTCCTCCTAGGATCCTGATAGATGTTGATTTTGGTGTGTAAATCTTGCCTGCAAGGAGTTTAGGATCCAGAACTTGATGGAGCAAGTTTCAGAATAAGTCTGCATATGAATACACATTCACCGAATCAGTAGACAGAAGATGACTTTATAATAAATATCAAGCCAAAAAAAGGTAGCATATGAATGACAGACACGAGTCCTTAGTTTCGCGGTTTACATTCATTTATAAGAAGGAATTTCATAGTTACTTTTTTTTTTTTTTTATGCAACCTGGTGAATCCTGAGATTTGAAGCTTTTTTCCCCCTTTTATATGATACTAAAGAAAGAAATATATGAGTTACCTTAACAATCTGAACAAAAAGGAAAGCCACCCAGACATACACAAGCATTGATAACTCTTTCCAGTATATGTTTTGCAGCATAGGAACCTGGATTGAGGTAGTGGTGAATTCAAGATGGATGCAAAGGGCAACAAAAAAACAATAAAGTAATCAACTGTTCCTTAAATAACATTTTAATATGATTACAGAAGAGGGTAATTTTTTTTTTTTATGTAGCAATTATAAAAAAAATATATTTCATAAATAACACTGTTCTTGTTACTGCCACGTCAAATCATTCTACTGATTAGTAATTACCACAAGTCACATAGTATGCACGTAATTGATTGATGACAACAACCATAGTTATTTGTGATAATTACTCACTTTGCAGTGAAAAAAAAAAAAGAAATTATAAAAAACAATCCTATTGATGAAGTACTTTTTTTTTAATTATGCTATAAAAAAAATTAGAGACTTTCTTCCGTAGTCTTTTAAAAAATAAATTACAAGTAGTCTTTTATTTTTTAACCGTTAAATTTGTATTAAAATCTATTTATTATACATATTTTTTTAATTTAGTATGATTTTAATCAGATTCAATTTTTAAAAATTGTGAGTACCGATAGGATGGACTACCGAAGAAATTTTCAAAAAAATTAACCTTTGTAGAGAAGACGTGACATTCTTTTGGGACTCACCTCCTCATCATGTGAAGCAGCTGGACCACTTGGTAAAGGTTTGTAGTCTGCGCTAGATCCCTCTGTACTTCAGGAGGTCAGTGTCAACATTCTTTTCAGTTAAAGCAGTATAGTCTTTTAGCTACTTATAAACTGGTTTCTCATAAATAAAATGTGCAGGAGTGAAGAGATTTTCTTTGTGGAACTATCTTGGTATCTTTCTTTTTTTTTTTTTGTAAATGTTCTTCAATTTGACATTCTTCGATGTGTGATTTTGACTCACCGCCAGGTTTGGACTCTGATTCTTCTTCCTGCTCCTTCTGTGCGGCCTGAAACTCAGCAAAATCCGAAACGCCTCATCAAAAATTTGGCAAACAAAAACAGGAAATCATTCTAAAGGAAGCAAGGAATTAGTATGTGAAAATGTTACCGTCTTCATCATTGTCTCTTTTTTCCATGTATCTATACCTTTCAATAAAGCTTTTGCAGATGTACCTGCCACCAACCAGATTATGTATGATGCTTAAAGAAAGTTATCAACCAGATTATGTAAAGTTGAGCTTTTAATTGGAAAAGGTTATTTAAAATAAACTCCTTAGTCGACCAATTTGATAGAGCCGGGACAATTTGGATTAAAATAGGATAGGATAACTAATGACAATTTGATAGAGCGAGGACGCGTTCTTGGGCGTGTTAAACATCATGGACAAAAACAGAATTTGGCCTATAGTTTGGGTACTAAAAACGAGATTAACTCTTCAAAATAAACAAATGAAAGAATCCTCATAGTTGCTTTTGAAACATCACAAAAACTTGCTGATTTTTCTTTTATTTTCCATGGAGTTCATATTAACTCTTTATTAATAGAACATTTATGACATAGAAGAGTCCTGGTTTTTGTGTTGATGAATGACCTTGGTGTTATTACCTAAGAAGAGAATGATAAGCAGAACCGTGACCATCCAATCCGCGAACATCACGTTGAAAGCAACTCCAATGCTGATTCCTAGCATTAGCATGGGCTGAAAGAGCAATGCAAGATCATAATCTATAATGGGCATGTCCAGTGTGGGATGTCTAAGTCTCAAATTGTAGTACACAGTTGACCCTGCAGCGCCCATAATCATGCCTGAAAACCAGAATTCATTACTGTTTATGTACTTCATAAAGTGAAAAGGAATCAAAAACTGATAACAGGGCAAATTTCAAGGTAATTTTAGTTGGTGTAAAATCAGTGAATTTTTAACAGTGTACATGAGATCAAGCTAAGCCAGGCGAAGATTATTCTGTTGCATACTATAGCCTATATTTGGAAATGTGGTTCTAAATGAACTTTCCTTTTATGATCTTTTTTCTTTCCCTGAAGAATTAAAAGAATAAATGCAACAAACATACTTGGATCAAATAGTTTCATATAACATAATTTTTGGTAGGAATAGGTGAATATTTTGGACCCTCAACTGTTGTCATGATCCGTCAGTTTTGCATACTCTTTTAGTTTAATTGGACTTAACACTCAGAAACACACACAACCGGCACGGAATATTCCTACCCAAACCAAGGGATATGGAGCACTTATTTGTTCTATTTTCGGAACTGAATATGTATAAGAAGACTAAGGTAAATAAGTACTTACACTTAGAAATGGCAGTAGAAGACTTAGGGTCGAAACCAACAATCAAAGTAAGCATTGGAACAAAAATTCCACCACCTCCAACACCACCAACACTTCCCAAAGCCGCACCGAAGAATCCAACTATCGATCCCACCACAATTTTCCAACCAAATTCCATCTCCTGCTCAACAAATACAAAATCATGTCATAATCATAAAACACACCAAATTACTACATGAAAAAGAAACCAGAAAAAATATGGGATATATACCCTTTGCTTTTAGGCAGTATTTGCTTTGTTTTGTGTTGGTAAAATGAGATGCATCATCAACAGAAAGGGGAAAAGAAATGCTTAAAAAAAAAAAAAAAGAAGCCATTCAGTTTAAATGGTATTATATTAATTATACTCACAGGCCAAACATGTTGGTAAGAAGACTTCCCACTCTGCCACAGAAAATGAGCTACTCTCATTAAAACTCCTTGTTGCTTCTCTTCCACATCAACAAAATTTTCCGGGTTTAATTTATCTTTCAAAATTCTCTCCCCAGAGACAACTTCATTCATGATCAGCAAGCAAAAAACCATCCATACTAGTGCCGCAGATACCGAAAACGCCTTCTTCCGTTTCACCTCACCTCCTGCCATTTAAGTAGTATATAGAAAACAATGCACTTAAGAGGTTGTCTATGACTTGTTAGAGAACCTCTTTCTTTATATATTCTTCTCCTGTTGATACTTGTTCCTCTTCCTTTTTTTCTTTTTTTTTTTTTTTTTTTTGTGTGTGTGTGTATCTTCTATTGAAGGAGTTCCTAATTTCTATTCTAAAACTCCAATAGGAACTCACAAATTGGAGTTACCATGCAGAAATGAGGTGTGATACTTTAGTACCTCTGCCTTCTTTTAGAAATTTATATAAATACTCTCTCACAACCCCTGCATATATAAGTTTGGGGTCCAGTGATTTTAAGTTCATGAAAATTTAAACAAATATTAAAAATAAATTGGGCCCCAGAATCTAGTTTTGCTTCTTTTGTGTTTTTGAATACGAAATGGCTTTCATGGAAGTGAAAGATAAGCAAGAGACAAAATCAATAGTTATAAGCCGTACTTCTTTTGCCTGTAACTTTTGGGTCTTTCTTTTGATCTTACCGTTGGATTTGAAAAATTTCCCCCACTTGTTGTATGTACAAACATCTTCCCCCAAGTCCAGCTCCTACTTTTTCTCTAAATTTCATGATTTTGCACTCTCGTATAATTTTGTAGCACTTGTGCCCCTTAAACTTTGGGTAATTTTACGGTCGTCTTTTAACATTTTGACAATTCAATCCCCGTGTTACTCCTATTTTGCACTCTCCTAAAATTTATTCATCGTCAAAGATTGAAGTTAATTGCTACTCTTTTTGAAATTCAGAGACTGGATTGTTCTTTTGAAGTGTAACTTGAGTGTAATTTTTTAGTTGAATTTGAGTTATAACTTGAGTTAAAGTTATAACTTGAATAAAGTTGAGTAAAGTTGAATAAAATTAGAACTTAAAAGAACGTGAACTTGAATAAAGTTGTAACTTGAGTTTAAACTTTTTCTGAGTTTTGTTGTAAAAAAATGACCCCTTATCATCAAGGAAAAAAAGTTTAGGTACAAAAGTGTCGAACTGCAAAAATTCATAGGGAACAAGTGCTAAAATTTAATAAGAAAATTATGGTACATCAAAATCAAATATCAAGGTGGAAATTAGCTACTATTAACATTTTTTAGAAAATAGAATTACATGCTTCCGAATTGTCACATGGAATAAATTATTCACTTGATGCTTGAAAAAGTACAAAGAGTGAATGGAACAGCATACAAGCATAAGTTTGTTTGTCTTCACAAGATATATCATCTTATGATCGCTCGCACAAGTGAAATTTCCTGGAAGCTGGGAAGTGTTACAAAAAACTGCTCATGAGAACATTTTAATTTACCACTTTTTCGTGGAAATTGTGAGATCTTATAACATAATTTGAAATAAGAATATATGAGAATAAGCCCTATAGAGCCATCCCTCCTCGATACAAGCACTAAATTAGCCATTAGATTAGTGGGGTCCACTTAAGATACATGTTTAACCAACGACTAATTAGGCCCTACTAATTTGTGTCTCTCCTATGAAGTATATCTTAATAGTCTAATTTTAAGCTTATTTCTTAAACTAGAAGTGAAACGTTGAAACAAATTAAAAACTCAAGTAAAAAGGATACTTCCAGGAAAGTTCCGAGAAGCAACGTAAAGTTTAGGAACAAGGAAGTACAAACCTTAAAAGGCACTACAACCCATATTGGTCCGTGCTATCTATTATATTATTATAACACAAGTAATGGCAAGGCTACGAAGCTTCACATTTGTATTCTTCTTCTGCAACTGTTTTATTACTTCAACTTACAAACAAAAGACCAAAAATGTGTCTCTCCCATCTTCCCATTACTCATAGTTGACGTTTTTACTTTTGTTGGTGGAGTAAAAATTTGTAATATAACTGATTCTCCTGTTCGGTTAGAGGGATGGAGAGTATGAAGGATAGAGAATATTATTGTAAACCTTCATGTTATTTGATAGGATGGAAAAATAGTTAAAATGATGAATGATAATTATTTATGAAATTATCAAATTGTCCATTTAAATTATTTGTTAATAATTTATTTAAAGAGTAAAATAGTCTTTTAAAGCTCAAAAAATGATGGATTGCTTGAATCTTTCCATTGATTGAAGGATCTAATTTGGTGGACTATGAGGGAGACCACATCCCTCCACCTCTCCTCTCCCTCCAACCAAGCAATAAATTGGGACTCTTTCTCCACCCCTCTCCCTCCCCCATCTATTCCTCCTACCAAACGTAATCTAAAGGCTATGCAACAATGTGAGTAAGGAAATTATGAATGTTAAGGTGAAGCGTCCCGAGGTCGACCTTGGCTTCCTTGACGAGGACTCTGATGAGGAGGGAGATGAAGAATGTGAGTAGGAGCTGCTCCAGCGACAAGAGCATCGAGGAAACTTCTAGAGGATGCAATGTTGATAAGTAGCCTTCTTATAGGGTTTTTTTTTTTTTTTTGGTGTAAAGGCCATAAGGCCTAGACAATGTTTGTATTTCTTATAATGACCATAAGGTCGAGACATCTCCTTTCACTATTTTGTTATGAATGTGACTGTTTGTTTTACTTGGGAAGTATGCGTTTGTTGAGTGTTTTAGAATTTTCCAAGTATACTCTCAACTGCTTAATGACCCATATTCTGGGTTGGACTCTATTGACAATGAAAATTTGTCAATTCAAAATTTGCCTCACCATAGATGACTCATGCGTGTCAACCCACACGAATTAAAGCAAAAAGTAAATGCATAAGAAGTAAAGAAGATAGAGTTTATAGTGGTTCGGCAGAACATTGTTGCCTACGTCCACTTGTGTATGCCATAAATCTCAAAAAATACAAAGAATCTCTCTTAGAACAGAAAATTGTGCATAGAAACTAAATGGGGAGTTTAACCTTTATTTATAGGTTCTCCTATACATGATATCTCTATCTCTAGAGCACATCATGAGATAAGCTTCTTTATCCCCTTTTTAGATAAAGATTTACTTAGCTTTATCTGCACATTTAATTATTTGAATTTAAATACATGGTTGCAGTTGATAATTTATATATGCTCTTCTATTTAAATTTGAATATAAGATAAGAGTTATTATCTCCTAATTTGGCGGGCTTTAGGTTGGTCTCGACCTTATCTCAGATATGTTGACATGGAATAAATTATTCACTTGATGCTTGAAAAAGTACAAAGAGTGAATGGAACAGCATACAAGCATAAGTTTGTTTGTCTTCACAATATATATCATCTTATGATCGCTAGCACGAGTGAAATTTCCTGGAAGCTGGGAAGTGTTACAAAAAACTGCTCATGAGAACATTTTAATTTACCACTTTTTCGTGGAAATTGTGAGATCTTATAACATAATTTGAAAATAAGAATATATGAGAATAAGCCCTATAGAGCCATCCCTCCTCGATACAAGCACTAAATTAGCCATTAGATTAGTGGGGTCCACTTAAGATACATGTTTAACCAACGACTAATTAGGCCCTACTAATTTGTGTCTCTCCTATGAAGTATATCTTAATAGTCTAATTTTAAGCTTATTTCTTAAACTAGAAGTGAAACGTTGAAACAAATTAAAAACTCAAGTAAAAAGGATACTTCCAGGAAAGTTCCGAGAAGCAACGTAAAGTTTAGGAACAAGGAAGTACAAACCTTAAAAGGCACTACAACCCATATTGGTCCGTGCTATCTATTATATTATTATAACACAAGTAATGGCAAGGCTACGAAGCTTCACATTTGTATTCTTCTTCTGCAACTGTTTTATTACTTCAACTTACAAACAAAAGACCAAAAATGTGTCTCTCCCATCTTCCCATTACTCATAGTTGACGTTTTTACTTTTGTTGGTGGAGTAAAAATTTGTAATATAGCTGATTCTCTGAACAAGTGATCGTCTAAAGTTCTGTTCAGTTAGAGGGATGGAGAGTATGAAGGATACAGAATATTATTATAAATCTTCATGTTATTTGATAGGATGGAGAAATAGTTAAAATGATGAATGATAATTATTTATGAAATTATCAAATTGTCCATTTAAATTATTTGTTAATAATTTATTTAAAGAGTAAAATAGTCTTTTAAAGCTCAAAAAAGGATGGATTGCTTGAATCTTTCTATTGATTGAAGGATCTAATTTGGTGGACTATGAGGGAGACCACATCCCTCCACCTCTCCTCTCCCTCCAACCAAGCAATAAATTGGGACTCTTTCTCCACCCCTCTCCCTCCCCCATCTATTCCTCCTACCAAACGTACTCTAAAGGCTATGCAACAATGTGAGTAAGGAAATTATGAATGTTAAGGTGAAGCGTCCCGAGGTCGACCTTGGCTTCCTTGATGAGGACTCTGATGAGGAGGGAGATGAAGAATGTGAGTAGGAGCTGCTCCAGCGACAAGAGCATCGAGGAAACTTCTAGAGGATGCAATGTTGATAAGTAGCCTTCTTATAGGGTTTTTTTTTTTTTTTGGTGTAAAGGCCATAAGGCCTAGACAATGTTTGTATTTCTTATAATGACCATAAGGTCGAGACATCTCCTTTCACTATTTTGTTATGAATGTGACTGTTTGTTTTACTTGGGAAGTATGCGTTTGTTGAGTGTTTTAGAATTTTCCAAGTATACTCTCAACTGCTTAATGACCCATATTCTGGGTTGGACTCTATTGACAATGAAAATTTGTCAATTCAAAATTTGCCTCACCATAGATGACTCATGCGTGTCAACCCACACGAATTAAAGCAAAAAGTAAATGCATAAGAAGTAAAGAAGATAGAGTTTATAGTGGTTCGGCAGAATATTGTTGCCTACGTCTACTTGTGTATGCACTAAATCTCAAAGAATACAAAGAATCTCTCTTAGAACAGAAAATTGTGCATAGAAACTAAATGGGGAGTTTAACCTTTATTTATAGGTTCTCCTATACATGATATCTCTATTTCTAGAGCACATCATGAGATAAGCTTCTTTATCCCCTTTTTAGATAAATATTTACTTAGCTTTATCTGCACATTTAATTATTTGAATTTAAATACATGGTTGCAGTTGATAATCTATATATGTTCTTCTATTTGAATTTGAATATAAGATAAGAGTTATTCTCTCTTAATTTGGCGGGCTTTAGGTTGGTCTCGACCTTATCTCGGATATGTTGACTTCTCTACGTAGACATCTTTATGACCTTTTTAGGACTTCTCGACCACAATCACACAGTTACTTAGGAACTCCTCATCTAAAGGATCTTTCCCTTAACTAGTACTTCTCGACAGGTAAGCTTGATTTCTGGCTTCTGAAATTCTCGA